TTTTTTGTATTTTTTAACTTTGTAAACAGCACTGATATAAACTTTATTTTTTTTTTAGCATTTAATGGTCTTTCAATTTGTTTTTATAATAATTGCTCTTTTCCAAATCCTTGTGAGGAAAAAAAATCTTTTGGCCTGGGTTTTTCTTTTTAACTAAGTTATGTAGATGCTCAATAAATATGCTGGGGATGGCAATGGGGAGACGTGTTGAAGTTCTAACCCCTGGTGCTTGTGAATAGGGAAATAGGATCTCTGCAGATGCAATTAAGATGTATGTTAAGATCTTGATCACATTGTAAGTTCTCTTAGAGGAGAGAGCAGTCTTCCAGAGTGGATTAGTTTCGTCGGTTAGTTGTATCTGACTCTTCGTGAGCCCAGGGATTGTAGCCCTCCAGGCTTCTCTGTCCACAGAATTTTCCAGGCAAGAATACTGGAGTGAGTAGCCATTCCCTTCTCCAGAGGCTCTTCCTGACCTGGGGATCAGACCCGGGTCTCCCGCATTGCAGGCAGATTCTTTACCATCTGAGCCATCAGTGAAGCCCCTAGAGTGGATTAAGGTGGGTCCTAACTGCAATATGTCTTGTGTCTGTATTAGAAGAGGAAAGACACAGAGACAGAGAACACAGAGGCGAACCCTATGTGAAGAAGCACAAAAGAGAACCTCTCATAATCCCACCATACAGAGGCAATTGTGGCCAACCTTTTGGCACATTTTGTACCTTCTGTGTGTACAGAAGGAAGATGGTCACGTGACTGGAGGCAGAGTTTGGGTGATGCAGCTGCAAACCTGTGGAGAAGGCAAAGGCACCCCACTCCAGTACTCTTGCCTGGACAATCCCATGGACGGAGGAGCCTGGTAGGCTGTAGTCCATGGGGTTGCTAAGAGTCAGACACGACTGAGCGACTTCCCTATCACTTTCATGCACTGGAGAAGGAAACGGCAACCCACTCCAGTGTTCTTGCCTGGAGAATCCCAGAGACCAGGGAGCCTGGTGGGCTTCTGTGTGTGGGGTCGCACAGAGTCGGACACGACCGAAGCGACATAGCAACAGCAGCAGCTGCAAACCTGGCGGCTTAGTTGACTTGGACTGCTATCAGAAAACACCATAGACTGGGTTAGTGTAGACAACAGAAATTCATTTCTCACATTTCTGGAGGCTGGTTGGTTGTAGACTTTTCTCTGGGTCTCAGAATCCTATATATTCTCACATGGTAGAAGGGGTAGGGATCTCTCTGGGGTCTCTTCTGGAATGACAGTTCCATGCTCAGGATGGAGGAACCTCCCAAGGGCCCCACCTTCAATATCATTGTCTTTGGGGGTTAGGGTTTCAGTGTATATGGATTTTGAGGGGGACATACAAATTCAGACCATAGCATCAAGGAGCACCAGGGATTGCTGGCAGTTCCCAGAAGCTAGGAGAGTGAGCATGGTCCTGCTGACAACGCAATCTCAAACTTCTAGGTTGCAGAGCTCTGGGAGAATACTTTTCTGTGGTTTTAAGCCACCCAGTTTGTGGCAGTTTGTTATGGCAGCCTTGGGAAACTAATCCGGGTGGCTTGGGTGAAAATGGAGGAGAGTAATGCCAGCAGCTCAGCCGTATGCAGGTGATTGTATGTAAGGAGAATGCTTCCAAATTAGTTGGTATTTTAGCCCGTTTGAGAACCTATAAGACAATTAGCATAGGCCGGGTGGCTTATAAACAATAGAAACTTATTTCTCACAGTTCTAGGGGCTGAGAAGTCTAAGATCAATGCACCAGCAGATTTGGTGTCTGGTGAGGGCCTGATTTAGAGATCGACAATCATCTTGCAGCTATGTCCTAACATGGCAGAAGAGAAGGGCAGCTTTTTTTTTAATAAAAGAAACTTTTAATTTTGTGTTGGAGTACAGCTGATTAACAATGTTGTGACTGTTTTAAGTGGACAACAAAGGAACTCAGCTATACATACAGATGTGTCTATTCTCCCCCAAACTCCCCTCCCATCCAGCTGCCACATAATATCAAGCAGAGTTCCCTATGCTCTGCAGTCGGTTCTTATTGGTTATCCATTTTAAATATAAGTCTGTGCATGTCCATCTCAAACTCCCTAACTATCCCTTCTCCCCATCAGAAGGGAAGCTTTTAGAGGTCTCAACCTGATAACCTTCCAAGGCCACACCTCCTAACAATATCACACTGGGGGAAATAGGTTTCAACGTCTGCATTTGAGGAGGAACAATCTAGAGCAGCTGATAGTTTCCATTCCCTCCTTTGCTCCCAGCTGTTGCTGCAAAACATGCCTTGCGTCTGCCCTCATTCATGGTGTGGCTCTCCTTGACATGAGGACAAAAACTAATTGACTTCCCGTATTGGACTTTTTAATATTCTAAAATGATTTGTGGCTTTTTCCTCTGGATGTTCCCTGATATTAATTATATTAGACTCCCTAAATATTGCTAATCTTAAGGTTTTGTGCTGCATGAGTGGCCATAAATCGATGGGTCCAGTGGGTATTGGTCATATTCTGGAAGCTTTTCTCAAGCACCAGTGGATATTTCCATTCAGATAAATTCTACCAGCATCCTCTCACTTTCTCTGGGAACATTTGAAGTTCCTCACGCTCACATCTTGATTAAGGGGCTTTATTAAATAAAAGGTAATATGGTGGGCCCATCTTGAAGACGTTGATGAAAACACATTAGGTAAGTAGACAGTAGGGGCTACTTTGCTTCATGCTTATTCCCCGATTAATCAACAGTAAACGTTCTACCCTTTCCCCACTTCACTTTCATGGTTGGAGACGACCTAGGGTCACCCACTTTGATATTTGAATCTGGCTCCTTCTGATTGTTATACACACAGAAATGCCACGAACACAATTTGACCTCACTTTTGTGGTCTGCTTTAATTTTTTAACAGAATATTAATGCTAGAAGGTATTTCAAGACGTGTGGTCAAGACCTTTGCCCCAGAACATCTGAAACATAAGTCATTTAAGGCATGTGGTGGTCCAGTCTATTTCAGGGCTCTCTAGGGAAGGAGATTGTAGACCTTCCCTTAGTTACCTATACTAGTGTTAAACATTAGCATTAGTTTGAGTCTTCTTACCATCTTTGTAGAACCTAACAGGTTTTTTTTTCCCCTTTAATAATGTTTTATTTTAAAAATTATAGTTTTATAACTTTGGAATAACAGATTTGGTGATTGAAGTTTGAGGAGAAGGCAGGAAAAACAAAAACACATGGGAGGCATATTAGTTACTTTGGGATTCCCCGGTGGCTCAGTGGTAAAGAATCTGCCTGCTAAGGCAGGAGATGTGAGTTCAATCCCTGGGTTGGGAAGATATCCTGGAGGAGGAAATGGCAACCCACTCCAGTACTCTTGCTTGGAGAATTCCATGGATAGAGGAGCCTGGCGGGCTACAGTCCATAGGGTCGCAGACGAGTCGGACACAACTTAGTGACTAAACAGCAGCAACAACCAATTCTTAGTTTAGAATATTGTGATTTGAATTTCTGTTTCTAGAGGACAATCATAGATGAGAGCTTTGGTTGTTTAGGAGTTTCTGCTGTTCTTTAAAACAGCACATGTTAATCATAAATGATTCTCAGAGACAACAGAAACAGACTGTAACTGCATGCCAAGAGTACATGGCCTTCTTTGGTGAGATCCGTTATGTTTTAAAAGCAACAGAATATTTTGTAACATATGTTCTTTTTTTAAAAAAAATTAATTAACTTTTTTGGTTATGCTGGGTCTCTGTTGCTGCACATGGGCTTTCTCTAGTTGCGGAGAGCAGGGGCTAATCTCTAGCTGCTGTACGCGGGAAGGCTTCTCGTTGCGGTGGCCTCTCTTGTCGTGGAGCACAGGCTCTACGATGCCTGGGCTTCCGTAGTTGCAGCCCATGGGCTCAGTAGTTGTGACCTGCAGGCTCCAGAGCACAGGCTCAATAACTGTGGTGCACAGGCCCAGCTGCTCCACAGCATCTGGGATCTTCCTGGCTTAGGGATCGAACCCATGTCTTCTACATCAGCAGGCAGATTCTTTACTACTGAGCCACCAAGGAAACTCTGTAATGTATGTTCTTGTAATGTGCTCCCTGACAGAGACAACCCAGGATGTGTAAAGAAGAATTTTTAAAAAGGAGTTGTATTATCATGTGTCATTAAATGGATTAGGTGAAGTCTTTTATCCAATCAGAACTGTGGGGAAAAATGTCTTAGTCTCTGCTGATCAAAATGATAACTTATGATCAATCAATAATAACTTATGTGATGGTCAAGATGCCCATTCTTCCCCAGGAGGAATAGATAACCACCTCCCCGATACTGTCTTCCAGGTTGAACTCAGAGGTAGGATCGTCCCTTATGATATAGACATCAGAACACTTATTGCTCAATCCCATGCCATACTGTAATCTGCATCTTCTAAGAAAAGAGATATTCTTCTACTCAACCACATCCAAGTACACTGACATGTGTTTAACACTTGTCCTCTAGTATATAATCTATATCTACATTTCTCCAATTGTTCCCAAAACACCTTTTATAGGCTTTATTCCCACTCCCCCCACCATCTAGAATCGCATCAAGGTTCACATGTTACATATGATTATTCTGACTTACTTTTAAACTCAAATGAGTTTAAGCAAATTGTTTATGCCCATGAAGGAGAATCTATCTGTGAATACCCTGAGTCTTTCTGAGGTAGGAGCTCCATGGGTTTGGAAATAAAAGCATTATTATATTTTGGTGGAAAGAGAAGTGGGCTAAGCCTTAAGCATCCTTGATTCCAGGCTCTGTCCTGCCACTCATTACCTGTACAAGTTCAAGTAAGTGACCTTGTCCTTCTGGTCCTCATTTTGTTACCTGGAAAAGCTGTGTGGCATGATAAGAACAAACGAGTTTAAAGACGCAATTTCATCCTTGGTTCTGCACTAATTGTGTGACCTTGAACACAACCCCCTACCTTCCCATTTATTCATGAACTGATTTGAGAAAATTCACTTTAAGTGCTTACCAAGGGTCCGTGTGACCATGACAGATTCGGTCCTTGTCCTCACAGAGCTCAGAGAACCGTTCTGGAGGCAGACATGACACACAGTCACATCGGCGAGTCATTAATTTCAGCTCTGGTAAGTTGAAACACTCAGAGAGGAGTCCTGTTGACAGAATGTAACAGGGACGCCTCCTTTAGACGGGGCCAGCGGGGGTGAAGGAAAGGAAGGGGAAAACCCCAGGCAGGCTTCTCGGAGGAAGTGACTTTTAAGTTGACACAAGAGGGATGAGTAGGTGTTGGCCAGGTAAGTTTAGGGGAGTTTTCCCTCTTTGTGAATCAGTTTTCCATTTTCAAATTAGAAAAAGGAAAACAGATGTGACAGAGATTGCTGGGGGTCCCCCTACAGATGTTCCATCCTTCTTCCTTGTTGTGGAACCCCAGCGTTACCCGTGGCGATGACAGTGCCTGCAACCTCTGCACCTTCTAGTGGCCTTGTGATGAATTCTGGCCATTCCTGGGTTGCATTCTTAAAGGGAGGTGATCCACCCCTTCATCCCACCTTCCTCTGCCCTGGGGCTTGTAACAAGGACTTGGTAGTGAGCCCTCTTTGGCCATGTGGGCAGGGCAACATCTAGAGGTCCTGGAGTGGTGATGAGCCATTTACTATTCCTAACTGCCTGTAGTCGTGTTTATATCTAAGGGAGAATTTTTTTTTTTGGCCTTGCCACGGGGTTTGTAAGATCTCAGTTCCCTGACCCGTTATTGAACCAGGTCTCTTGGCAGTGAAAAGCTCAGAGTCCTAACCACTGGACTACCAGGGAATTCCCAAAGGGGGAAATTAACTACTGTCTTGGTTAAGCCATTTTGGACTAGTTGAGATGGAGCTCTGTAATATGAAGTTGAACTTAAATCCCAAGTGATAGAGTGTGTCTATCAGAACATTCACATTGAATAAAAGAATATAATGAAAAATAATGCTTATTGCCTACATGCCTCACAATTTTTGGTCTTTTTTAAAAATATATCATTGAATTTTTTTATTTAAAATTTTTTTCTTATTTGGCTGCGCTGGGTCTTAGTTGCCTCATACTGGATCTTAGTTGTGGCATGTGGGATCTGGTTGCTTGACCAGGGATCGAACCCAGGCTCCCTGCATTGGGAACACGGTGTCTTAATCACTGGACCACCAGGGAAGTCCCCAGAGTTGCTTTTAAGCATCATGATGAGCATCGGAGCTGAACACCAGACTTCATGTGAATTGACCAGTTCTAAAAGATTAGAATTGGACTTTCCTTTGCTATAACTGCACCTTCGTCAGTGTATTGGGCGCATTCCTCACTGGAGAAAGGGTGTATTGCTCTATATACCTAAGGGCACTGTGAAACCCACCTCCTTCTTCTGAGCCATGTTGCAGGATTTCTGGTCCAGAGCTCTGGTTCAATAACACAGTGGGGTCTGTGAGCCATCTTACAGTGGGACAAATGAAGTGACCTCAGCTGTACACCTCCCCCTTGCAGGACATCCCCCTGCTCCTCCACCACACACATAGACCAAAACTTCACTGGAGGAATGGCTTTTGCTGAGAAATCATTCTAGTGATTCTTGATTTTTACTATAGCTCACATTATGACTCAAAGCATAAATATGAACACCAGAAAAGTTAAACATGTGGAAGAATATACGGGCACAATTCATGGGTCCTCTTGGGAGAAGAGCTTGTTCTTCATGGTGTTCATTCATGGTGTTAGTGTTTATGAGTATTGTGAGAAACATCCAAATATCATCCAAGTGTTAAACACACACACATCATGCCATCTATTTCTCTAGAGGCTAACTGAGTTCACAGGGGATTTTGTGTGTGTGTGTGTGTGTGTGTTGGCTGCCCAGTCATGCCTGACTCTTTGCAACCCCATGGACTGTAGCCCACCAGGCTCTTCTGTCCATGGGATTCTCCAGGCAAGAAGAATGGAGTGGGTTGCCTTGCCCTTCTCCAGGGGATCTTCCTGATCCAGGGATTGAACCCAGGTCTCCCACATTGCAGGTGGGTTCTTTACCATCTGACCAACCAGGGAAGCCCTCACAGGGGATTACGGCTCTTCATAGAAGTAAATAGATTAGGTGCTGCATTGTCATGAAATCATTCATAGCTGGGTGGGGCCTCAAGCTTACCTGGCACCATTTTTATCACTGTGAAGGGATTCAGCCTGTGTTAGAGAGAGCAAGCTGGAGAGTTGAATGCAGAATCTCATAAATAGATTTGTGCTCTGGCTTAGTTGATTCTGAAGAGAATTCAGACAAATAAAAGCAATGCATTAAAGACTATTATTTTGAGCAAAAGATTTTATGAAGTAGCATCAATCCATTGGCCATAAATAACTGGTCTATTGAGCATTCCATTACTATTTATTGAACACCTATAGAGTAAGGAGGCTTATTGTCAGAGAAACAGAAAATTGGGGTCAAACACAATGCACGAACATCTTCTAGTGGTCATTTCCAATAGGGGCCAAAGTCTTTTCTGTAAAGACATTGTTTTCTGAATATTTGCTAGCTCAGTCAGTAAAGAATCTGCCTGCAGTGCAAGAGACCCGGGTTGGATCCCTGGGTCAGGAAGATCCCCTGGAGAAGGAAATGGCAGCCCATGCTCGTATTCTTGCCTGGAAAATCCTATGGCCAGAGGAGCCTGGTGGGCCACAGTCCTTGGGGTCACAAGAGTCGGACACGACTGAGTGACTAAACCATCAGACACTTTAGGGGTTTCCTTGGTGGCTCAGCAGTAAAGAATCCCCTGCAATGCAGGAGATGCACAAGACCCAGGTTGGATCCCTGAGTCGGGAAGATCCCCTGGAGAAGGGCATGGCAACTCACTCCAGTTCTCCTGCCTGGAGAATCCATGGACAGAGGAGCCTGGCGGGCTACAGTCGGCTGGGTTATAAAGAGTCAGACACGACTGAAGCCACAGAGCGCACACGCAGACCCTTGAAGGACAGCAGCAGAAGGAGGGACTTGATCTCAGTTCCGCTTGTAGCCTCCACTGTCCGTTCCCTTCTGTGGGCGAGCCCCTTCCCATCCAGTCTCTGCCTCTCTCTGAGGCCTCGTATCTCACCCCCCTGCCCCCACTCTTCAGTTGAATTGAATGATCGCTCTTGGCGCTTTTGCACAAGTCACTCACTCTTCGTGGAATGCCCCTCTTCCCCTTTTTGCCTTAACTCCTTCTTTTTCTTCAGAATTTAACATAGTACCTACTCCAAAGAATTGAAAGCAGGGTCTCGAAGAGGCATTTATCTTGAAGAGTCAGGACCCCCACAGATACCAAAACCCTCTGATGCTCAAGTTCCTTAAAAAAAGTGGCAAAGTATTTGCATATAACCTATGCACACACTCTCATATACTTTTAAAATCATCTCTGGATTACTTATAATTTCTAATACGACATAAATACTATGTAAATAGTTGTCATTGCACGACAAATTCAAGTTTTGCTTTTTGGACCTTTTTGAAAATTAAAAAAATATATATATTTTGATCCCCCGTTGATAGAATCTGCAGACGCAGAATTCATGGATACGGAGGGCTGACTGTACAAATAATGGAAAGTTATTCCACCTTAAACAGGAAGGACATTTTAACACATACTATAACATGGGTGAACCTTAAGGACATTATTTTAAGTGAAATTAGCCCGTCACAAAAGGGCAAATACTCCATGAATCCACTCATATAAAGTGGTTAGAGTAGTCACATCTACAGAGGTACAAAGGGGAATGGTGGTTGTCATGGGCTGGGGAGAGGGAGAATGGGGAGTTAGTGTTTAATGGATACCGAGTTTCAGTTTGGGAAGATGGAAAAAGTTCTGGAGACTGATGGTGGCAATGGTGGCCCAGCAATGTGAACACACATCATGCCACTGAACCGAACACTGAAAATGGCTCAAATGGTAAATTTTATGTTGTTTTTATTTTGCTACAATTAAATTAATTCAAAAAGATGACACAGATGTCTCTGACCCCTTCAGCCTGGGATGGGTGTTCCTCTTACCTGACCTAGGAGTACATGATAGTATTTTTATTATTAAACCATCTCACTTTTTAAAATATATATTGTAGGGATATATCAAGTAAAACATTTAGCATCTTACCCATGTAGTTATTGTTCAATAAACAACAGCTATTGTAACATTACCCATAACAATTGCCAGTTGGATTATAACCTTTCCTACTAGTCTGTCTTTTCAAATCATAAAAGCCTTGAAGACAGGAGCTATCTCTTCTCCAAAGCCAATAGCAAGGTATCTGCCACATGGGTTCATCAAAAAACTAAATGAAAGTGAAACAGATCATTGGTGGACCCTAGAGCCACAAAGAAACTTTGGAGACAATGAAGAATGTGGCATCCATCCATTCGAAAATTGAGTGCACTGCCCAATTCCTGTACATAGTAGGCACTTAATAAATGTTAGTTCCTGTGTCTTTTCCTCTCATTTTACAGAGACAGGATTGAGGTCCACAGAGGTGAAGTAATTGGCTCAGAGTTAAAGAGCTTAGTCACAGGAGAGACAAACGCCACATCTTCTGGGCCAGCGAATCTTTTCATATAACATGGGAAACATGGGATGTGGGAATGACCCTTGACCCCAACAGTAATAGGTTTACAAATAACTTCTTATTATGGGAAGATTCAAACATACACGCAAGTAGGGAGGATAGCATCATGAACCTTAAGGACCCATCACACAGCTCCAACAACTGTCAACTCTTGGTCAGTCTTTTGTCATCAGTAGCCCTCTATCTGTCTCCCATCTTCCCTCCAGAGTATTTGAGGTTAATCCTCAACATCTTATCAAATTCTAACTGCATTTCTCATGAAACTCTTTTTCATGGGTTTCATCTCTAGAAAGGATCAACTCAGTTGGAAAAGATTTGGATAAGGGGAAACCTCAATTCTTCTCCTAAAAGATATTGGAAATCAGATTCTCAAAACACCATGACACTTGCACACCTTGAGAATCTTGCCAAAGTGAGCACGCCAAACCTTTGATTTGCCTTAATCTCTAGAGATCAGTAGATTTCTTCCCACTCATGTCTCTGCTGATTTTTCCTGTCTTTCTGCTCTCATTCCCAACTTGTGTGATTCATCCTCTGTAGTCATTCCCCCCACCCCCAA